CTAACGTTGCAGCTGCTGCAGGTGGTGCAGGTGGTGCAGGAGCGGGTGCGGCGGCAGGAGCGGCTGTCGCTGGTGCGTGCGGACGTGCTTCTTGAGGTGGTCCTTCCGGCCGAAGCGCTTGTCGCACAGAGGGCACGGGAAGGGGCGCGCCCCGCTGTGGATGCGGCGGTGGCGGGTCAGCTCCTCGTTCCTGGTGAAGCGCTTGTCGCAGCCCTCATGTCCGCAGGCGAAGGGCCTCTCCCCCGTGTGGATCCGTAGGTGGCCCTTCAGCTGGCCCTTGTTGCTGAAAGCGGAGCCGCACTCACTGCAGGAGAACCTCTTGGGGCGCGGACGCCGGGCGCACACGCGCTCCACCTCCGCCGCCGGCACGAGCATATCCAGCAGCGGCACCAGCGGCCCGGGCACTCCCGCGAAGGCCGCAACGCCGCCAAGGCCCGGCACGGCACTCAGCCCGGGCACTGCAGCCAAGCCAGGAAGAGCCTGCTCCGAGGGCGTGAGAGCGAGGGCGGGCAGCCTGGCCGACGGGAAGCCCCCAGGCAGCATGGCGGAGTTTATTCCACCGCTCGCAAGGTCAGGGAAGAGCCCTGCAGGGAAGCCAGGCATGTGCGAGGCCAAGGACGTGGGCGTCGGGATGGCCAAGCCGGGAGGGCGGAGACCCAGTACCGGGAAGGGCGCGGGCGGCGTCGTGAGGGAGGCGGATTCGCCTTTCTCGCCTTTGATGACCTTCCTTCTACTGACGAAGTCCTCGTCCTCGCTGTCCTCCCGACGACGCTTCTGGGGTTCCCTAGCAGGCTGCGAAGGCGGCGCTGACCGCGAGGGCGTCGGAAGGATTGGAAGGATGCCTGGTGAAGACATGGGCGTAGAGGGCTTGCGATCTTTGTCAGAGGAATGGGCGGATCTAGGATTCTGGGGCATCTGCTGCTCGCTGGGAGGGAGGCTAGCCAAGTTCGGCTGCCAGGGGCGGAAGATGGGCGTGGGTGACAGTGGGCGCGGGGGGTCCGTCATGGCGGTTCGCTCCCACAACATTAAATTACAAACTGGACTAAGCCACTTCTCAACACGGCACTATTTATCACCACGTATTCCGCCGCATGTCCTGGCAGGCGCTTCCTCCTGCTGGCACGGATTTTAATAGCAGCTCCGCTTCACTAAAGATTCCAGCCCTCGACAGGAGAGGTCAGAACCACAGACGGTGACAGACACAAAAGACAGGGTGACTGCGGAGCCGATCGTTCGATGGGGAGAGGCAAGAGCAAACTGACCGACGCCATTGTGTCGCCTCCCTTATATAGATCTCGAGTCCCGACGCCGCCATCTTGTGTAGCCTCTCTGTGGTTCATTCTTTAAACTTTTTTTTGTGAATATTACTATTTCTGTGAAGTACAAAATTTCTAGACTTTGCAAAATTAAAAGCATCCTTAAACATTACAATCAGATTACATTAACCAAACACTGAAATATATATATTTTTAAAGAATAAAATAAACCTTTGAATATTCCCTTTATACATAAGATCTCATTTGGATATCGAAGCAGTTTGGCAATCTGACATTCAGTTTCAGGAAAAGAATAGCTGTTGTGGGGATAGTCTATATATCCTGGATGTTTACTTAATTTCTGTTCATATCCATCTCCTATGCTCTTTCGCTGTTTTATCTTTCTGTTATTTCTTTGTTATTATCTCCGTCACTGTTTTATGGCAGTCTTATCTTTTTTATATTGTTCTATGTTATTTCCCTTCCTTGATAACCCTCTATTCCCGCTTCCTCTTTCATTTCATTTCTTTTCTCTCTTCCTTATCTTGACTTACTCCTTTGTGTTCTTTTATCCCGTTTCTCTAATTTCGTCTAAAATAAAAATAAGCGTTTTAATTCCTCTTCTACATGAGCTTTTCATTTCACAATCGTTCAGTTTTTCTCTCCTTTTCTTCCCCACTTCCTTCTTTTGTCCTTTTTATCCATCCCTTCCATTTACCTCCCTCCTTCAATCCCTTGTTTTAGTTCAACTCTTTCCAAAGGCCTGAGTCTTATGCTGATACATGCCACTGATGCCAAACTATGATGTCGCTGTGGTAACCTGTAACATATAGCTTCTGTTTATATTTAGATTACGTTATTGTAATTGTTTTCCTTTCTCTCTCAGCCCACATTCACGCCGCGACGAGTCTCTCCGAAGGAAATCCGAAAAGGAACCCGGCTCATCTCCCGGCGCAAGACCCTGTCAGGGAGTTGTCCTTCCTCTCTTCCATTCCTTAGATAAGGACCGTCTCTCTCAGCCCCCGGAGAGCCCCTTCGCCCCCTTCCCAGCCTCCCGAGCCTCCGCGCGCATAGCAAAGCCTCCTTCATGGTGACAGCGCCCCTTCGCTCCCCCGGGCACAATGCCTCCCCCTTCACAGTGAGTGCAGCCCTTCCAGGCCCCTTTCAGCCCCTGCTAGCCCCCTCCCCCCGCCCGGAGGACCCTTGACCGAGGCTTTGTGTGCGGGGAGCCACAATTAGGCATA